AACACCGAGATTGGAGAAAGACATGAGGCGAATGAACAACAATTAGCGTAGAACTCGAAAAGAAGGGCCACGACAGAATAGGTTAGAGAATGCTGGTCAGTAGCCTATGCTCCATTTGGGGTAACATGCGTAAGTATGCAAATAAGTAAGACTACAACACAATATACGCGTACAAACAAACAAACAAACAGAGCTAACCAACCTTTAAACCTTCAAAAAAGCTTTCCACTTCATCAACAGATTGTTTTGTCAATGTAGATTTGGTGCATAAATTCATATCGTCTAAAATATTTTTAGATGAAGATGGATGATTCACTTCGTGTAAAACCATATTTGAGTAAAGGATTTTTCGACTTCCCGGTGGAACTGAACGACTTTTTCTTTTACGTGAATCAATTTTTGTTTTTATTATTTCTGGTTTCTAGAAAAATTATTTCAGATTTAAAAAAAAAACACACACACACACAAAGAGAAGCGATTAAATATGTAGAGAAAGGCAACATGAAAAAAAAACACTTTTCAATTATAACAAGATTTATATTGTAGCCGATTTACCATGCGCTCTTAGTCGGATTTGGTGTGCGGCCTATGCTCAATTGGGGGTAACAGGCGTAAGTAAGTAAGTAAGTCTCAGTCGGATTTGAGTCGCATTTGAATTGTATGAGGGCAGACAAAACACAGAGTCATCTGACCATCTTAAGTAACAATGCAAGTATGTTCGGCATGAGATTCTTCCCGTCGAAATGCGAAATACTGCTTCAGGATTGGCTTGTGCTAGCACCTAAAATAGTGATAGGTAAGTGAAGTAGTTTGGCGTGTCGACCGATTCATCTATCTTGGGAGTCTCATCAGTCTTGATGGTCTAGTGTGTGACAAAATCTCAGCATGGATACAGAGAACTTTTGCTAACTTGCGTAGACCGTGAAGTAGGCGAGATATCCGTCTAATAAACATAAGACGAGTCTAGTGCGTACCAGTTCGCTCTATCATACTATACGAGTGTGAAATAGAGCCACTAAGAGTAGAGGATATTCTTAAGTTACGAGTATTCAATCACAGGTGTCTTATAGGTGCCGTAAATCCTGCGACCCCCGAGTAAGCAATGCTGTTGTTAGGAAACAAGTACTAGGTAAGGATGGCAGATCAATTTATGAAGTAGTGAAATGTCATCAGTTGAGGTGATTAGGAAATGTGTTACGTATGTCTAACCATCGACTACCTCGACGAGCAATGTTGTCTGATGTACGATTAGGCTGGAAGAAAGCTAAGGGAGGACAGAACGAGACGGCACAAATCCATGAAGTCACTGAGAAGTGGACAGAACCATGTTAGTAGGTGTAGACTGCCAGGTCGGGGTCCACGAGACGAAAGTCACCGATGGTTAGAGACCTTGAATCACATTGGCTCAAGACCGTTTGCAACGGTCCAGGTGCATCCACTCTTGTATTCTTTCAAATCCTATTCTTCTGGATTCGTCAAGGCCTCTAGTTTTGTCTTTCTAAACTTATCTCACTTTCTAAACTTATCTCACTAAACTTATCTCTCAATAATATCTTCTAATCCTAACCTCTCCGATTACTTCTAATACCTTTACTACCTCTTCTACTATTGAATTTGAATTGAAAATTGTGTCTCTGTGCTGATGTGGTATGGCAACCCGAACTGACGTACTTACGTACGAAGTTCTACCTTGCATCTGACTGACTCTATTAATTTGTGACGAGTTCGGTCTCATGCTGTAACGATTATGAAGGCCGATGTCACTTACCGGTAAATGAAAAACGAGCTGGATTAGTGTTGGTCTCAGAGACCTGGGAGCCCAAGGGACAACTTATTAATTAAGACCGGTCACTCACAGTCTTCTTTTGGGAAGTTTGCAAAATGTTAGCTCTACTCTCCAAATAGCCTTACCGTCGGAGATGGAAATCCGTGGGGTAAGGTGAGGTGTGACGTCTATGGGGTCAACCTTTTCTAACCACTTCATTCCTTGTGGGAAGGTGGCATCGCGGCATGTTTTGGTTGTTCGAGAGAAACATTTCACTGCTATCACACCCGTCTACAGTCAGTCGGCAGTACGACTTCAGCCTCAAACAATGAGTTGCTGCTTTTGGTCTTACCGTCCTCCATTTGAACTGCCTGGCATGGTAGAACTTAGAAAAATACATATTTCAGACAATATAGCTCGTTTGAGTCATCACGATAGGCAAACCCGACCATCACGTCAAGGTAACACTTACAACAGCATTGCTTACTCGATTGTCTCAGGATATACGAGCAGTGTTTCACAGACACCTACGATCGAACACTAGTGTGACCGACGAATATCACCTATTATTACTGACCATGTTTCACATCCATACCACAGGACGGAGTGAACTGCTGCGCAGTAGGGAGTTTCGTTCACTCTCAGCTGCATGTTTTGATTATGGAGCTTTCATCATTGTTCTTCTTTTGAACACAACATCATCAGCACAAACTTTAAGATGAATAATTTACTTCTTTCTGAAGTTTATGCTGATGTTGTTCAGGAGAACTACGTTGTGTTTTTCGCATACTTAAAATATTAAATACACACACAAAAAAACAAACTATTTACCTTAAGATGCCCAACAACACGACTTTGTTTCATTCGACTATTATTATTATTGGTTAATATTGAGGAGGATGATGATAATGATGAACTGTTAGAATTAGGATCACGTACAATTATTGTTTCATTACTACAATATGGATTAGGTCGTTTAAGATTTTTGCCACTATTCATTAATGCACCTGCAGATTTAGTATCAATGGTTCTGCTTTGAAAAAAAAAATCGATAAAATGTGCATTTTTGCATATTGAATACAAATTTTATTTTAATTTATATTCAACAGTAACACTTTAGAACTACATCAAAATACATTTTGCCCATTCAAAAATGTTTTGAATAAACTACTTATTAACTTATCATTCAGATACAAAATGTGACATTAATCTATGAAGTCAGTGACTGATGGTCAGTCAGTCAGTCAGATGCAACGTAGAACTTTGTACATAAGTACATCAGTTCATGTTGCCATACCATATCAGCACAGAGAAGTAATCGTCAATTCAAATCCAATAGTAGAAGAGGTAGTAAGGGAATTAGAAGTAATCGGAGAGGTTAGGATTAGAAGATACTACTCAAGAAGTATGATTCAGTGAGAAAAGTTTAGAGAGTCGAAACTAGAGGGGTTGAAGAATCCAGAAGATTAGCATTTGAGAGAACACAGAGAATAAATGCACTGGCGCCATTGCGAACGATTTTGAGCCATGTCATTCAAGGTCTCTAACCATCGATTATTATCATCTCGCGGACCCCAACCAGGTAGTCGACAATTACCGACATGGCTAAGTCCACTTGTTAGTGACTTCATGGATTTCTGCAATGTTTTGGTTTGGCCGCCCCTAACTTTCTTCCAACCCATTCCCACACTACGAAACAAGGCTCGACGAGGCAGTCGGTGGTTCGGCATACGCAACACATGTCCCAACCACCTCAACTGGTGAAGTTTCAATACTTCATCGATTGATCTGCCATTCTTACCTAGCACCCGATTCCTAATAACAGCGTTGCTCACTCGGGTGTCCCACGACATACGAGCAATGCTTCGAAGACATCGATGATCGAAAACCAGTAACCTACGAATATCTTCTACTCTCACTGGCCATGTTTCACAGCCATAAAGTAAGACGGAGCGAACTACTGCGCAGTACACTCGTCCTTTAGTCAGCAAACGGATATCTCGCCTACGCCATAAGTGACGTAGGTTGGCGAAAGCCAATCGAGCCTTCTGTATCCGTGCTGAGATTTCGTCAGTCACCAGGCCATCGGCACTGATGAGACTCCCAAGATAAGTGAATCGGTCTACACGTTCGACTACTTCACTCCCTATCACTAGTTCAGGTGCAGATGCGACCCAGTCTTGAAGCAACATTTTGCATTTCGAGGGGGAAAACCGCATCCCGAATATGCTTGCATTGTTGCTTAGGGTAGTCAGAAGACTCTGCATTTTGTCAGCATCTTCACCAAGTAGGACTATGTCATCGGCATATTCTAAGTCAATAAGCGAGCCACCTGGAAGAAGGTCTACTCCTGAAAATTCAGACGAGGATAATGTTAACTCTAGGAGCATGTCTATGATAAAATTAAACAAGAATGGAGAAAGTGGACATCCCTGACGGACACCACTTGATGTAGAGAATTCCGGTGACAGTTCGCCATATGCTCTCACCCGACCAGTGGTGTTCGAGTAAAGAGCTTGTATAAGGTTAATGTACTTCTTTGGTACACCTTTCAATGACAGACACTGCCACAGAACCTTACGATCAACAGAGTCAAATGCCGCCTTAAGGTCCAAGAAGACAACTATTGTAGGACGCCTAAATGTGTGTCTGTGTTCCAGGACCTGTCTGAGTGTGAAGACGTGGTCTATACAGCCACGTCCAGGTCGAAAACCAGACTGGTTTTCTCGAGTCTGCTCTTCACGAGCTTTCGTTAAGCGTCGAAGTATTATTGAGGCCAATATTTTAGATACTATATTAGTTAGACTTATTCCTCTGTGATTGTCACAAGAAGTCTTTTGTCCTTTCTTATAGATTGGGACAATCAAGGATTGAGACCAGTCGGATGGGATTACGTCCAGTTCCCAGATTTTACCTAAGATCTCAGTCAATCTAGCTGCTAAAACTGGACCACCATCCCTGAATATCTCAGGGGTCAGTCTATCAGGACCTGCAGCTCGTCCTCGTTTCAGATTTCCTAACGCTTTCTCAACGTCATTAAGACTAGGGGGACTTACGTCGATTTGCCATTCAGGATGACTGGAGATCGTGGGTAACTGAAGAGTGGCTCGTGGCCAGTTGAACTGATCCCTAAAGTGTTCTGCCCATCGATCCAGTCTCCTGGATTGAGAATGGATAATAAGACCATCCTTTTCCGAAATAGTCTCACTCACATTCGGGTTCTTAATACCGGTTTCTTTGATAAGGCGGAAAAGTTGTCTAGTGTTGCCTATCGCCGCTGCCTTTTCCATCGCTTTTGCTTTCGCCACCCACCACTGTTCGCGGTCGTTACGCAGACTTTTTATAAGTCTGCGCCTAAGCTGACTACGCTCTTCATCATGCTCAGAGTCAGGTGGGATGCGTTTTCGAGCATCCATCAGTTCGGTGGATGCGACTGAAATCCACGGCTTCATCCTAGCCTCATGGTTTACCTTCCTAGCAGATATCACTGCTGTTTCCACAGCCTTTTTGATATCATACCAACCTGCTTCTGGATGGGAATCGCTTGCATGGTTGCTTAACTCTCTTTCTAGTTGCTCCTGAAATATTTTCTTGGTTTGATTATCATTAAGTAAAACCCTAAGAGGCTTTCTTACGGTGTCTTTCCTACGCCCAGTAAGCCTTAAACAGATACGAGCTCGCACTAGAGCATGATGGTTTGAGACATGTCTACAGATTCTGACTATCTTTGGTTGGGGGGATTCACCACAGGAAAACTATGATCAGTAGTAAGCTGAAGAATTTAGATGATATGAATCAGAATCGTATACAATGACGCAGATACATTATCCTATGATAAATGTTAAGTTTGCATTACGGGGTTGTGAAGATTGTTAAGTTACACATTTTTGAAACTATGAATCGATCAATGTTAGACCACCATTACCAGGACGAAACGGCCGTCCAGTGCTTCCAGGTTTCTAATGGTGGTCTAACATTGATCGATTCATGGTTTCAAAAATGTGTAAATGTTAAGTTTCACGATTTCTTCATACACGTAAATATCTTCAAACTCAGCCAGTATAACCTTCGGGGCTACTGCCGGTCCCAAGCCCGGGTAAAGGAGGAGGGTTGGATATGGGGTTGGCGACCCCATTTCGTCAAAAACTAACTTGCCAAAAAACGCTGACCAGAAAAATTAATCCAAACCATTTTAACTCTGCCCTCACAGTTGGAAGAAGAATTATGACGTCGCGTGATGAAAGCCGAGTTCCGTCAGAAGTCACGGGGCCGATGCCTCTTCTGATAACCAGAGCAACCATTCTTTTAGGTACATGGAACGTTCGTACACTGTGGGAGACTGGAAGACTATTTCAAGTTGCGGCAGAAATGAAAAGATACAACCTCGAGGTGCTCGGCATCAGTGAAACGCATTGGACACAGGTAGGACAACTGAGACTAGCTTCAAGGGAACTGCTGTTATACTCTGGTCAGGAAGAGGATAATGCTTCACATACACAAGGAGTTGCACTGATGCTGTCCAAACATGCACAAAAGGCACTGATAAGATGGGAATCTCATGGGCCGAGGATCATTAAAGCATCCTTCAAAACAAGGAAACAGGACATTACAATGAACGTCATCCAATGTTATGCACCGACCAATGACTACAATGACGACGTAAAAGATCAATTCTACGAAGGGCTGCAGTCAATCGTCAAGAAATGTTCACCAAAGGATTTGACGATTCTTATGGGAGACCTGAATGCCAAGGTTGGCATGGACTGCACTGCATATGAAGACATCATGGGACGACATGGACTGGGACAAAAAACGAAAACGGTGAGATTTGCAAACCTATATGCCTTCAACAAACTGGTCATCGGTGGCACAATATTCCCGCACAAACGCATACACAAAGCCACATGGATTTCACCGGACCACACTACTCAAAACCAAATTGACCATATCTGTATCAACAAAACGTTCAGAAGGACCGTGGAGGATGTGAGAACCAAGAGAGGAGCTGATATAGCCTCAGATCACCACTTGCTGGTCGCCAAAATGAAACTGAAACTCAAGAAGCACTGGACAACGGGGCAGACAACATCACACAAGTTCAATACAGCCTTTCTTCGGGATACTGTAAAACTCAACGAATTCAAGATAGCCCTCACCAATAGGTTCCAGGCCTTTCAGGATCTACTCAATGGAGAGGACGCAACATTGGAGAACAATTGGAAAGGGATCAAGGAGGCAATCACTTCAACATGTTACGAAGTTCTGGGTCACAAGAAGCACCATCACAAGGAATGGATCTCTGGTGGTACTCTTGAAAAAATTGGAGAAAGGAGGAACAAGAAGGCAGCAATCAATGTCAGCCGAACAAGAGCAGAGAAAGCTACCGCACAAGCTGCATACACAGAAGCGAACAGGAAAGTGAAGAAGAGCATCAGAGCTGACAAACGAAAATATGTGGAAGATGAAGCAATGACGGCGGAAAAGGCTGCAAGAGACAGAAACTTGAGACAATTGTACGACACAATGAAAAAGCTTGCTAGAAACCATCGTAAACCAGAACGACCAGTGAAAAGCAAGGAAAGCAGAACAATCAGCAACAATGAAGAACAGCGAAACAGGTGGGTAGAAGGCTTTGAGGAACTTTCGAATCGACCAGCTCCACTGAACCCACCTAACATCGAACCAGCACCTACGGACCTCCAAAGCGATGTTGGCTGACGAACGGTCGAAGACAAATCGAGAGCAGCAAAGCAGTAGGATCAGACAACATTCCAGCGGATGCAACGTAGGCCGCCACCAATTTGTTTCACATCCTCTTCAACAAGATTTAGGGTACGGAACAAGTGCCATCAGAATGAAAAGGATACCTCATCAAAATACCAAAGAAAGGAGATATGATCTAGTTGCGTACAACGATGAGACGACTTTGGGGGTCGCAGGGTCAACAGATGCTTTAATTATGCCTAAAGTTAGTGTTTGCTAAAGAATAGGCGGTTGTCTGAGCATACCTGCAACAGACGGTCGCCATTGTCTGTTCTCTGAGCCGCTACACCATAACATCCACCAAGATGTCTTTCCTTTTCACCTAGTCTACCTACTTGAGCATTAAACTCACCAGCCATTATAACTATATCAGAGCGCTTAACGTTTTGGAGGAGTTCAGAAAGCTTTCTGTAAAACTCATCTTTTACATCGTCTGGACTACAGTCACTGGGGGCGTAGACTGATATGACGAAGAGGCAACGACGAGTGTCCCTATCCTTTCGAGTCCTTACTGTCCCATTTAGTCGGACGGCGAACAAACGACTATCTACAGGGATCCAGTCAAGGAGAGATTGTTCTGCCCTACGACTCAATGCTATAACTACACCAGCGAGATCCCTGGAAGCAGCATCAGGGCTACCGGATACACGAAGGGTAAATCGAGCTGCTTCTTTATCTTGACATAGTGAGGTCAAGTGAATGATGCTACTCGGATCATGTATGCGCGTTTCCGAGACACAGCACACATCGATGGGACGAGATTCTAAGGTCCTAGCTAATGATGCCTGTTGTCCTATTTGACACAATGTCCGTACATTAAATCCTTCCATATGTTGTTTAGAACGGGGTTTAAGGAGACCAGGAATGACGTTTCGAGGAGTCGGATCGTTTGCATTAGCTATTCACTGTGATAAATGAATGTGAGAAGAGTCAGTCGTGGAGAGAAGAAAGATGTTAGGGGGTGTAGGAAGGATTTGATTTTGACCAATTTGGTCTCGTGTGCTGTTACGGGTATGAGTGCGGTTATCACTTCCCGGCTGCCCACACCGTGGAAGACTCAACTGTATACATTTTATACTTTAAAATATCCTAATGAGAATATTTATTATTATGAAAAAGTAACCGACTAACATTGAACAGATTGCCAATCTCTAGACAAATGAAGAGGAAGGATTTGATAGCCAGTGGCATTAACAAAACGCTAAATGATCTCATTTAAAGTGACCACAAATATTCTAGCACTGAGATCTACGTTCAGTGCAAAGAAAAGTCAGTAATAAGGTTGGCGGCTATGAATGTCTGGTCCACAAGCATTTTATACGTAATTGTGGGATAAAACTACTTTTATAGAGTAGATAGTATTTAAACTATAAAATACTTAGACTATGGATAACTTACTTTGTAGAGACGGCGATACGATCGTTTTGTTTGTCATTTTCTTTATCGTTTTGTAAACTTTCCCATGATTTTTTGATAAAATCTACTGGATCCAAATTTTCTGATCCCAATCGAATAGCTGAAGCTAGTGAAGGACTGATAATATTGAGATTTGAAAAAGCCTCTCTGATTTTGGCTTCTAAATTTGGCAAGTCACGTAATAGTTGCTTGCGTTCTTTCTCAAGCTTCAACAATATACCACCACGATTTTGTAATACTGAAGGTTCTTTCATTCGTTTCTTCAGTTAAAATAAATACAAATCAAAATGTAGGAATTTAAAAAGCGACAACCATTTTAACACCTACCTGGATACTAAATTTGAAAGAAATGTTCAGTAAATTTACCAAATTTATTGGAACGCTTACATGTATATGCTTTACGAATGCCCAACTACCGACTGCATCGACGAGCTAAGTTTTGTGGTGTAGGGGCAGGTTGGAAGAAAGCTAATGGCGGCACAACCAAAACATGGCACAAATCCATGAAGTCACTGACAAGTGGATTGAGCCATGTTGATAAGTGCAGACTACCTGGTCGGGGTCCGTGAGATGAAATTCATCGATGGTTAGAGACCATGAATGACATGACTAGAAACCGTTCGCAATGGTCCAGGTGCATTCATTCTTTGTGTTCTCTCAAATCCTGATCTTTTGAATTCCTCATGACTGTTTTTTAACTGATTCCTCTGGGGCGGGGTATATATCTCGAATGATATATTCGATCATTAATCTTTTAAATGACTGCTAATACTTCTACTACCTCTACTACTATGGGATTCGAATTGAAAATTGCGTCTCTGTGCTAATGTGGTATGACAACTCAGATGCAAGCTAGAACTTCGTACGTAAGTACATCAGTTCAAGTTGCCATACATACATACGAAGTTCTACGATGTAGCTGACTGACTGACAGTTTACATCAAATTTCTCTAACAAGTAATCAAGATAGAGAAACAAAAATACACATCATTAATCGTAGAATGAATTATTCACGATAGTGACAATGAATAACTTAATCTCTAAATACACAGACCACATTGTTGTGTTTAGAATCGACGTGTCGGTAAAACTAACAATCACAGGATCAAGTTGTATCTCAACATTTCTTCACACTTTAATTATTATTCCCTAAATATATTCATCTATCTTTCGAAAAAACTATAACAATAATTGGATGCCTCTTTGAAACAATTTACTACATTAAAAACACACACACACAGGCCTAAAGCTGAACATCCAGATTTACTTAGTGCTTCAAAGATTTATTTATTCTTAAAAATAAGTAAAAGAAAATCCGAATTTTAGGCACTTCACACAACAGGTGTCTAATCATCTGTCGCCCACCGGCTCTAATCAATATTTAAATTTGTTTGAAGCAAACTATTGCATCTGACAATGAGATCGTAGAACATCTTTAATTGATAGGTTCCAAAAGACGACTTAAACACTGAGACATCTGATGACATAAAAGCCCCACGAAAGGAAGTAGAATTTTTCAACAAGTTAAGTAATATTTGGAGAAGTATATAATAACACAGATACACAATTTCTGACACAAACAATGACAGTGCGTTAGCGATTTTTCATTAAACATGAATACAGATACAGTTTTGTGTACTAATCTATGAGCTGAGAGTACTACTATATAAGGTCTGTCGATATTATCTAGATGAATAAACCTACATAGATAAGGTAGTTTCAGAAAGTCCAAAAGAACTTATAAAAACTAGTATTCACATATCCGCAATATTCATTTATAATGAAAACACCATCACCAGGGGAAATATGATGTGAAATAGGAAAGTGAACTTTCACAAAAAAAGTTATGCTTAATACCTTCAAACTTTGAAACGAAGAAAATTGATCACACCATTTAACAACGTCTAAAAGAAATTCAGAGTTTTTTTCCTTGAACTCTTTCCATGTGGTGATCTAAAAATTTGAATTAAAAAGGACCAAGGTTTTACCTCATTCTCTAGAACGGTCAATACATTCTCATTATCTTTGTTCTGTAGTAAAGATTGAAACTTTTGACGATGTTTAACACCCACAAAACAATCGTCCCAACACTGATTCACTTGTGAATGAGCCGTAGAAACCAAAGTATCCATATGACGTGAACGTATAGCTTCTAACCGATCTACTTCTGTTCTCAACTAAAATTTAAAAAGCATTCTTGATACAATCATGGTATAATGGAAGATTAACTTTGACTAGTCTTATTTGAGTTTACAGAACAAATTGAAACAGCAGCACGATCAAGCGGTATTAGCTAAAATAATTATTTTTGAAGTTGTCAAATGTCTAACCACGTAAATTCAGAAACATTTAGTCGAATGAGCATCATACAATGGTCTTTAATTTTAGTAGAAAAGATTGATATATGTTTCTAATGAGTACGTTCTATTGATAAATGCTTGTGGCTAACTATATAATCTATTTACATTGCTTAAAACCTGGTCAGTTGACCTATTCAATCTCACTTTGCATAAGATGCTGTAAGTGATATTGGTTATCTAGATTAATCAGTTTTTATTGCATAAATTATACGAAATTGAAACACTATACCATAAAACATAGTAAACACTACATAGAAAAACCTACAATATGGAAACATAAGACCAGTTTTAAGAAAATTTCACTAGAATAATATACACTATACTCTAAGTAATCAGTCAACTAAGATGAATTTAAAGAGTAGAATACCAATAGTTATGGTGAATGAACTTACTTTGCGCAATGTGAAACTTGAATTTTCGTTTTCGACTTCATCACATGAAACACCCAATGGGTTTAACAATTGAAGTAGAAGATTTAGACGACCTCTATAAACATTGCATTCAGTGTCAACTCGTGCACATTCACAAGACAATTGATCAACAATATCTGACATAGAAAACATATTTTCTTCAGAGAGCGTGAAAGTCTCTAATGCTTCTGGTGCAAGTATGTCCTTTACAAGACAACAAGAATCAGTGACTAGTCTCAATGACTTTCCAAGCTTATCATAACCAGCAATCATCTGGGATCTAAGTTCTAAAAATTTTGCACACCTTTCAGCCTGCAAATATATTTAACTCCGTGAAACTTACTTTAACAGTATTAAGATGTTCAACGCGTCTTCTCAGTAGTTTAATCTGTTCCTGAGATGGAACCGCTTTGTAGTTAAGTGTTATTTCCGTTTCACATAAACGGCTACATAGTTTTCTTTCTGAATTCTTCAACGTATTGAACTCCTGGATAAAACTATCAGCATCCTTTAAAAGTCTCTCCTTTTCTGACAACAGAAAATTGTACGTTTTTAATAAAGTTGTGGTTTTTGGAGGATAAAACGGTGTATTATTAATTTCTGAAGAGATTTCATTGATGTATGTCTGAATAACAAACTTAGATTCAAAGTGATACGCTTACGATGAGATCATCAATTGATTGAGATAATTGTGTTTTCCTGGTCTCTTTATCAATTAATATGTTATCAAGGACTATATCCAGTTGTTTTATGACTGAACGTACTTCTTCCTCGAGTTCTGATCCTTCTATACCTACTTCATCCCATACGGCGAAGATTGGTTGACACTTCTCCTCAACACTTGCCAAAATCGTCTTTAGTGACAACGAAGCGCACATAATCAAATACCGACCTCACACCAAATGTTTCTATTCTCGATGCAGTTTCTCCAATATCCAATATCTTTTTCACGATCTAGTATAAGCCAATTGATTTCTTTGCGCTCGATTCTTGTTCTTTCGGTACGCTTCTAGGTGTTTGGTAGTGTCCAATGAATGGGGGTCTAGAGACTAAACTGTCTAATTCTAGTCAGTTTCTGAAATGATTGCATGTCCAATACCATTCATAATTCTAAGATGTTTTTTCTTAACAATCCAGCATACTTAAAACTGAATAATTTAGAATGTTTTACCATTCAATAGCTATTTATCTAGAAAATGAGAAGTGTCTCAGAAAGTTTGCATGTGTATTACTCATAAATCAGATGTATCAAAAAGCGATACATCATCGCCGGATCACCGTTGCGTTTACTGTGCAACTGATCTACATGCATAAATAAGCAAGTCTAGTTAACTCGCTGCTCGACATCCCAAACTTAATTTCTGCTATCCTCACTCCTTACTTCTGGTTTGACTCGGCTTTGGATATTTTCGATCTGGAAGGTGTAACTGACAAAAGCATTGTCGAGGACTTTCGACGAACCATTTCCTTCTAAAACCCAACCTTCATTCCACCAACATATAATTGGACGATTTTCCATCGTACATACAATTTCCTAGTGAAAACACTTACCAACAACCTTTTTGTGTTGAGAATGCTACCAGGTAGGTAATCTTCGATTATCTGAGACTTATTATTCAGTTGAAACACTCAACTATTCAGAACGTTAATATGGCAAGCGATAAATATTTACAACAACTACTAAGCAAGTGCAAATCAGATGACATGTCATTAACAAGTTCATTACTACGGATGTAGTGACTAATCAACTCATACAATGTTGGCGGTGCCATGTACAACCAAGTTTGGTTTGTGAAACTAAGAAAGACAACTTGAAAAGTTCTGTACATATAAAACAAACTCCACTTGGAGCCCCTCAGTTACTACTGCCGGTCCCAGGTCTGGATAAGGGAGGAGGGTTGAACATTGAGTTGGCGACCTCATCCTAAAAAAAGAAGCTAACTCTCTATAAAGACGGTAACCGGAAAGCACATTTCAAAACGTTGGAACGCTGCCCGGGGTCTTCTTTCATAAGAATTATGACGTCTCATGATGAAATCCAAGTTCTCCTGGAAGTCAAGAGGCCGATGTCTTGTCTGACAACAGAGGCAACCACTCATTTAGGTACACAGAACGTTCATGAAGAGGAAAATGCTTCACATACACAAGGAGTTGCACTGATGCTGTCCAAACATGCAAAAAAGGCACTGTTAGGATGGGAATCTCATATACCCAGGATCATTAAAGCATCCTTCAAAACAAAGAAAGAGCAAATTACAATGAACGTAATCCAATGCTATGCACGTACCAATGAAAACAATGACGACGTAAAAGATCAATTCTACGAAAGGCTGCAGTCAATCGTCAAGAAATGTTCACCAAAGGATTTGACGATTCTTATGGGAGACCTGAATGCCAAGGTTGGCATGGACTGCACTGCATATGAAGACATCATGGGACGACATGGACTGGGACAAAAAACGAAAACGGTGAGATTTGCAAACCTATATGCCTTCAACAAACTGGTCATCGGTGGCACAATATTCCCGCACAAACGCATACACAAAGCCACATGGATTTCACCGGACCACACTACTCAAAACCAAATTGACCATATCTGTATCAACAAAACGTTCAGAAGGACCGTGGAGGATGTGAGAACCAAGAGAGGAGCTGATATAGCCTCAGATCACCACTTGCTGGTCGCCAAAATGAAACTGAAACTCAAGAAGCACTGGACAACGGGGCAGACAACATCACACAAGTTCAATACAGCCTTTCTTCGGGATACTGTAAAACTCAACGAATTCAAGATAGCCCTCACCAATAGGTTCCAGGCCTTTCAGGATCTACTCAATGGAGAGGACGCAACATTGGAGAACAATTGGAAAGGGATCAAGGAGGCAATCACTTCAACATGTTACGAAGTTCTGGGTCACAAGAAGCACCATCACAAGGAATGGATCTCTGGTGGTACTCTTGAAAAAATTGGAGAAAGGAGGAACAAGAAGGCAGCAATCAATGTCAGCCGAACAAGAGCAGAGAAAGCTACCGCACAAGCTGCATACACAGAAGCGAACAGGAAAGTGAAGAAGAGCATCAGAGCTGACAAACGAAAATATGTGGAAGATGAAGCAATGACGGCGGAAAAGGCTGCAAGAGACAGAAACTTGAGACAATTGTACGACACAATGAAAAAGCTTGCTAGAAACCATCGTAAACCAGAACGACCAGTGAAAAGCAAGGAAAGCAGAACAATCAGCAACAATGAAGAACAGCGAAACAGGTGGGTAGAAGGCTTTGAGGAACTTTCGAATCGACCAGCTCCACTGAACCCACCTAACATCGAACCAGCACCTACGGACCTCCAAAGCGATGTTGGCTGACGAACGGTCGAAGACAAATCGAGAGCAGCAAAGCAGTAGGATCAGACAACATTCCAGCGGATGCAACGTAGGCCGCCACCAATTTGTTTCACATCCTCTTCAACAAGATTTAGGGTACGGAACAAGTGCCATCAGAATGAAAAGGATACCTCATCAAAATACCAAAGAAAGGCGGTTTCAGCAAGTGTGAGAACTACAGAGTAATCACTCTTCTCAAAGTCTTCAACAGGGTATTGTTATACAGAATGAAGGACTTCGATGACGCCCCAACTCCGAGGTCAACAGGCTGGATTTCGTACGGATTGATCGTGTCGCGACCAAATTTCAGTATTACGGTTCATTGTTGAACAATCGATTGAATGGAACTCACCACTCTTCATCAACTTCAATAACTACGAGAAAGCATTCGACAGCCTAGAAAGGACATTACTATGGAGGTTTCTTCGACACTACGTCGTGCCTGAGATATTCTTCGACATGATATGGATGATAGAATGATAGAGAGAACTGCAAACTGTGCACGGAGGACAGCTAACAGACTCGTTCGAGTTAAAGATCGGTGTCAGGCAAGGTTTCTTACGCTCACCTCTTCTCTATCTCCTGATGATCGGATGGATTATGAAGACGTCATGTGCCAACTAAATCACTCTTGATGGAGATGCCTTGGAGGACGTTAAAACATTTACATATCTGGGTAGCATCATCGACAATCAGTGTGGATCCGATGCAGATATGAGTGCGTGGATTGGCACAGCAAGACCGCATTTCAACGATTGAAAAATATCTGGAACTGCAAGCAAATATCAATCAACACCGAAATCAGGATTTTCAATACAAATGTCAAAAACGTTCTATTATATGGAGCCGAAACTTGGAGAACTACGAAAGCCATCATCCAGTAGATACAAGAGTTTATTAATAGTTATTTATGCAAAGTACTTCGTATTCCTTGGCTAGACATTGTAAGCAACAACCTATTGTGGGAGAGTACAAACCAGATTCTGGTGGAGGTGGAAATCAGGAAGAAGCGGTGGAAGGGGATAGAACAACCATTGCGAAAAGAACCCAATTGAGCTATGAGACAAGCTCTCACTTGTAAGCCTCAAGGTAAGAGGAAGCGAGAGAGAGGTCAAAGAACAAATTACACCAGGAAATATAAAAAGAAGAAGGAACGAAAATCGGCAAGAACTGGAAAAGGGAGCACAGGACAGAGTTGGTCGGAGAAAACTGGCCGATGGCCTACACTCTATTTGAGGTAAAAGGCGTAAGTAAGTAAGTAAGTAAATAAGAACAACCTCTTTTCCCTGTACAAAATTCTTCAGTGGAATCCTCTTCGCTTCTAATGGATCTCCAAATCATTGCGTCGTCTACATAGATCAATGCCGACGAGCTGACTAAGTTTAAAGGGTTATCAGGAAAGAAGTGAACCTAATATAGTCCCTGTGAAAATCCCAAAGTTGAGACTCGCCAACTCGCGTGCAGTCTATTTTCCTTGGTACGGAACTATGAAGATGAAGCTAGCCGCCAAAATAGAGGCAAACCCGAAACATCTGTTTAGGTAATGTCCAAAAGAAAACCTATTAATCAAGGGTTGTGTTCTCTCAAAGGACCAAACGGGGAGGACCTCACCAACCTAGAGATGGCAGAGATCTTCAACACCACTTTTGCTGATCAATTAAACCAGGAGCCTACATGTTCAGAGTATTACGCCAACCCAATGCCAGCTGACGGCTTAGGGAACATCCGTATCACTCCTGACCTAGTATTAAGGAAACTAAAATGCTTACGCCCAGGTAAATCACGAGGTTGTGACAAAATCCGCCCTATAGTCTTGCAACAGTGTGCTGAAGTCCTCTGTTCACCGTTATGCAACCTGTTCAGGCATTCACTGGAGTCACACCAATTCTCAGCTGAATGGAAACAAGCTACTCTCTCTCCAATCTTCAAAGGCGGAGATGGAAAGGACCCAGCCTGTTACAGACCAGTCGCACTACTACCAACAAATGAGGGAGTACATGGAAAAGAATAAAATACTCCATGAAGCTCAACACGGGTGTCGGGAATGCAGGGCGTGTTCATCAAATCTCTTCATCGCCTCCACACCAGTCCAAACTATGTGATGGATGCAGCCAAGGCAAATGCGACTCTTCAATTTATGCGAAGACAACTTGATGCTATCAACCCGCAATTATTTTTGACACCATTTAGGACGTACGCGCGCCCACGCCTGGAGATTCACAATGTTATCGCACCCCCTCTGCTTAAACGAGACATAAATCTCTTGGATCGAGTGCAGAGACGAGCAACCAAATGGGTGATAGAGTTGAAAAATAAACCATACGACGATAGATTCCAGCTCTTGGGATTATTTCCACTGAGCTACAGGAGAATCAGAGGTGATCTGATTATGGAGTACAACATATTAAATACGCCAAACCATCCTAATGTGAGCATCTTACCGATGCATAACCACCACTCCCCTCGAGGCAATCGTCGAAAGATTGCACAACAAAGAGCGAATACTCAGATCCGTGCACACATTTTCACATTGCGAGTCGTCGCAACCTGGAATGTTCTCCCAGCCGAGGTAGTTACAGCCCCCTTATTGGACGGCTTTAAGAAGAGACTTGATAATCAT